ATTGCTGTGTAGTCTGTGCTCTGTAGTAGTCATAAACGCGTTTCACTTTTGACGTGACCCCAAAAATAGGTTTGACACAGCGTCAGTCGTCGTCGAGACAATTTCACCGTGTGTGTATAGTAGCGACCGCGGTGCGCGATGATACAAAGCGCCATATTTATAACAATAACAATAATATATAAAGTATATGAAGCCTGCTCGCGTTTATCCTTTATTTTTTTATCTTATGTTATTTAGCAATTTTGCGCTCGTTGCGTTCTAGTTCCGATTGGTCAACCGTAGCGATTTCCAGTCCGTGCCGATTGTCCTCGCCTGTATACGATAATACGATATAATATATATACTATATAATATATTATATACCTGAAGCCTGCTGTCGTGTCAAGAATTATCGTTATTAAACGCACGCCATCCGGTCCGTATAACCGATAATCATATTTTAATAACACACAAACACACGCACGCACGCATATATATATATATTCAATAATAATATAATGCGTGTACGGAATGTCATTACTATGTATAATATGTATATAAATATGCATATACATGCGCGTTTGCAATTGTATGTATAATATATATTTCTGTGACGTATACATTATTTCGATTAAGTCGTTTTGCCTAAAGGGTTGAACGAGTCCATGTTCTACATTATCACATTTTTAAATCGTTGTAAAATTTCGCATCGGTAATTTGATTTAGTTCAAAAGAAACGGTCCGATACTTCTATGTTTACTGTAGCAAACTGCCAATTCGATGTATATATTTATTATTATATCAATTATAAGTGTCACTCAAGTGTGTCTACGAGTTGTGTATTCTATACGTATAAAGCTTAGTATATGCTTATATTTACTTTTTACATAACGTGATCGGGTTGACCACCCTTGTGCTATCATTTGTCAACCCTCGAAGTATCTATTCGATTCGAAATCATTTGTTGCAGATCTGAGGGAGTTGAAAAACTATTATTTCAAGAATTGAGCAATATTCGTCGTCTGAAATATATAATATAAGTACTACTTCTACCAGCTATTGTTGTTTCGTAACGTTTTGTTCTCAATTTAACTTGAGAATAAATCGATACTTGAATAATGCATATTTTAATATATATATATATATACATATACATAATAGATAAACCTCGAAATAATAGTTGGAACACCTATTATATTCTTATTATTATGCATATTGATTTGTTTCTTAAAATTATCATGATCATTATTATAATTTTTATAACCATACGTTATATTAATATAAATGTTGTACAATAATAGTGATAGATCATTTAACTATGTGGATTACGCCATCTTTTTGTCTTCAGGACATATTGCTGGTTCGTTTTGGCATTACGAACTAAAACTTATGATTTTTATTTATAAAATTACCAAAAAGGGAAATCGAATGCATTTCGACCGGCTATTATTATAAGTTATAAAATTGTTTGTTTAAGATTCACACATATACATATCGTATACATGTATGTTTTAATTAGCAGTACACTAATAGTTTTTAAGAAAAGTCGATTAAATGGTATTTAAGAGTTTGCTAATGGTACGCTTTCTTATTCTAAAATGCACATTAAAAACGAATAAATAAATAAAATATGTATAATATTTTAATGTCGTTTTTACTATATTTCCCAATAGCAGTTGTTTTATTTAGCACATTTTTGCGAGTATAATAATTATATATTTTTTAAAAATATTTAGAGTGATACACTTCAAACGATTTCCGGTACTATACATAGCAACTATTTAATATTATTATCTTTACTTTTATTTTGACACACTGTAGTATTTTCCCTGGATGAACGAACATAATAAATTTGCGTGTGATGTCATATTAATTTACTGTAGCAATAGTACCTAACAGTGGTTCGGTGTATAATACTATGATAATCATATTAATATGACTTCCCGGATAGCTGATTGTGCCATATGTGCGATGGCGCAAAAGTCAGCCACAACATACACCATTGGATGGTTTTTTTAAATTGGATTCCAAAAATACGCGAGCGCGTGCTGTCGTTTTCGTTGTTCTTAAGACAAACGTGATATACGATACCTTATATACTTAAGCCCTTCCATTTGGTCAATACCGATTATCGGTATGCGAGTTATAAACTGTAACTCTATCGGATAGGTTTCTTCGGCTTCTTTTTCACGTGTGCGTATCGTATATGACGACTGATGATGTATCTATATATAATATATAATATAAAATTATTATATCGTTATCATATGAAAAGTTACACGGAATTTGGTAAAAAAAAAAGTATTCACCGGTGCCAAGTTCTTCATTTCCTCGCACCACGACGACAGTTTTATTGTTATGCAATATATATCCCGAAACTTCATCAAACCTGCAGTAGGTACCTACTGATTGCGACGTATTATTTATTATATTACATCACTCACAGGGGCATTTAACAACGAATGGGTACAATTACATTATCTTATCCTGGCATTAAACTGTAATAATAATAGTAATAATAATAATTACAATATTAAATATTAATACGATAATTATTATTTAATGATCCGGTGAAAGTATTCGTCACCGCCGCGTGATACGATGCCCACGCGCTACAACCGCGATGCCGCGCCAGATTCGCGATCTCCAGTGATTTCGTATTTTATTTTTCTTTCTCTGCGATGATATATATATATATATATAATATTATTATGTTCCGTGCGCACTGCAACAAGACGTAGCGTGGGAGGGGGGATAGACAAAATAATGTTTTCATTGGTCACGCTTACGAATTATTACACACATACGTATATTATATGAATATGAACACGATGTATGTGAGCGGTTGTCTTGTAAACGTGTATATACATATGTTGATATGAGTACTTATAATATGTGATGTGTGTGTGTGTGTGTGTGTACGTAGCTTTGTTGTTAACATAAGTCAATTCAACTCTTTTTCAATGGAGAGAGAGAGAGAGAGATATAAAGCCATGTCCAATAATCGGCTTTTTTACACGATTACACTTTAGTCCGTGACAATTTAAAGCGAATAAAATTGGGCAATTTACGTTTCATATTTGATCATAATATAATAATGTTATAGTGTCTCTTGAAGGCGGTCGTTTTCGTAAAATTTACGTAGGATTCAATGACATAATAATATATGAACATTGAACACTAATGTATTCATGCTTATAATGTACATTATGTACATGTGTGTAGAATGGCTCTAAAAAAATGTGTGAGTGACCGAAAATTGATTTAAAAATATATCTCACAAGATAAATAGTCGAAGATCTATATACATATTTTATATTATTGTCTAAAGATTGATATTGTGTTTGGACAGTCATATCTTGGTGGCACATCTTTTCAAGGTATTGCTAACCGCTACACAACACACGCGGTCTAACGAATAACCGTTTAATTTATACGCTCGCTTTTGTATTGTTCTTAAAAAATATTACTTGAATAATACATGAACTAAATTATAAATGAAAAAAATTACCGATTAACCTGTAATTATTTTTAAACGAATTTTTTTCATTACTTAATTACATAATATAATGCGTGTGCGTTGACTTGTATTAGTTGTATTGTATATAAATATATATAAATGCTTTTTAAATAATGCATATTTAATTTGATGTTAGCATTTGCCGTTTAGATTTAAATCATTTACATTTTGCTAGTTTTTTTGTTGATAAAATCAAAGTGATTCCCATTGTATTATTTATATATATTTAAATGAAGTTCCCTTAACTTTTCAAGAAAATTGTATGTATCAAAAATACATGGTTCAAAAATAATTTTTTTCTAGGAAGTTTTTAAATTTTCTCACCGTATAGTAGGTCATTTGGAATATTATACAATATTTACTATCTGTGTTACCTATGTATTATACGTCAAACGCTGCTAAATACAATTATAATTTCTTATGTAATTTTTAAGATTATGAATGCAATTCGTAAAAGAAATCATAAAATGAATATATACGACCAAGGTAAACTAATAAATAATTGTATATTAAATAAACATCAAAACATGTAGGTAGGTAATTTATTTAATATTGATACATTTAAATACTATGTAAAATTTAAATGGGTATGCCATCAATATGATTATCTTTATTTATGTTTGAGTTTTGTTTTTATTTTGGATTGCATGATATTATTGTTTAAAATGTTCAATAATATTAAAATTTTAAGTTATGGAAGTCGTGGTTGTTATTGCATTTTTATCATATTACTCATGTTGCATGTAATAATTCATTTGATAATATTAATTCACTGTGCGTAAATAACATATTCGTTAAAACGTTGTTTAATTTTGCAACATAAAACGTTATACGCAATGATTTATATTTCAAGTTATGAAGAGAAAGGTGTTAGGATGAGTAAATACATTGCATCTATCCATGTATACAAGCAGTAACTTTAATATAGTAACTGTGTAATTCAAGTTGACATTGCCTATGTTAGTATTTTAGATTAATTATGATATTGTTGTATTCTTTTGTTCTTGTCAAATTGTTTTAAATAGATACTCATTTGAAACGATATATACCCTCGAGCTAAATCTTGAAATATGATACTCTTATTGCAATTATAATTATCTAAGTAATAAATGTATAATAGTTTACACACGTTCCTATATTATTATGTCTATATGAATACCGTACAGCAACTGTACGCTAACGTATTAACCTGTATAGGTACCTATTTTTTAATTGGACGTTTATGCCTTATTTTTTTTATAGCTATAGCCTATAATAGCGCGAATTGTGTGAAAAATGTTGTATTAAAGTATGATTTATGTGCTAGATTCTAACGGTTAGACGATCGTTTATAATTTTAAGGGATTATTTAAAGGTTAATTTGTGCAATATATTATTTTTAATTAAACCTTCGTCAAGGAAATATTATACCTACATGTCGTGTTGCTGTTGTTGAGTGTACACTATGTTTATGATATTTTGTTATTTTATTTTATTAAACAATATCGTTCCATTTGTTTAGTTTCAGATGAATTCTCCGAACAACCTGTAAATATGTGGGGCTGTTCGAGTTGCGGAACACGTCGTCTGGTCAACTTAGTCGTCTTTACCGTTTTGATTAGTTTAGCCGAGGCTTGGCAGCAGAATCTACCGCCCAAGAACAGTGTCAGATATGGTGAGTATAAATATTTTGCGTGTTTACTTATATTATATTGATTTTGCTAACTGTCATTGATGTTCAGTCAGGATAAATATTATTTACCAATAAATAATAAGTATAGGTGATATCTAAATTACGAAAATTAAATTACAATAACAATATGTACAAGCATATAAATATTAAATACAACTATAGTGGTGAATATATAAATTAATTTCTATTATTAAATACTTTTTAATTGAAGAAAGGGAAAAATTAAGTAAATTATAATAATAGTTTTTGGATAATATCATATTAAAAATAAAAAACATTTTTTGTCACCATGTAATATAGTAGGTATGGTATAGTTGATTGATTTAATCTAAAAATTAAGACATTGTAATATCTCTGAGCAATCTATCTTATTGTTTAATAATTTATACGGGACTTTTAATTCAATCAAATCTTGGTCCTTAATGTAAATTATAATTGTTCAAAGAAAATAATTAAACCTCATTGCTAATTTGTTGAAATTAAATTCTCAAAATATAAGAATAATATACTTTTGTCAATGAAGAAATAAAACGAATATTGGATATCAATAGATGAAAATAAAATAATAAAATTCGACGATAAGGATTTATTTAACGAACACCTTAACAGGAGAAATCTATAAACTCAAATTCTTAAGAATTTTTTTGTGAATTTCCTATTATTCTATACACATTATATAATATTATAGTATATGCAATGCGTATATTATGTATTAATTATACTATGTACCGTACCTACCCATCCACAATATTATAATATTTTAATTATAAAGTAGACAATAACAGTCGGTCTCGTATCTGCAAACACTGTGCAGTACACCGAAATCGCGTGGCACGCACCGATAATAAGTCGACCGAAACTCGGCCACCACCGTGTTACCCGAACGCAATAGCGTTGATTATGACGCTGCAGCGGAATAAAAAAAAAGTGAACGGTCAATGTCTACGTTATTTATAAATAATAATATTATTATTACCCAAATCCCACAGTGTCTCGATATCTGTAATATCATCTGCGTGCGTTCTTTTTTTCGTTTTCATTTCTACGTATGTGTGCGGTCTGTGTAAAACGCACGATGACCATGTATAATATAATACATTACGCGCATACATCGCAGCAATACGATACCGCGCGTGCGGTTAGGACGCACTCGAGACGACATCGTCTATTGGGGATCAGTGGTGATCATATATAGCGTAGGCAGGATACCCAGGTATAATATTATTATGTATGTACGTGCGTGCTTCGCGGTCGCCAGTTTTTGGGAGGTCTTTTAACGACAGAAAAGTAATAAAATAAAAAAAAAAAAAAAAACCAGACGTTCCTAATGTACGCGCAACGGTGACGTATTTTTCCCTCTTGCCGTGTTGCATCGGTTATTGTACACAAGTTGTGTATACATAATGTACATATAACGTGACCGTAGTAACCTACGACGCCGGTCACCTCACCCTATAGCTCTCTTGACTCTTATGTATTGTTTGTGTTCGACGCATTTGACACGGAATAAGATTTATTTATTACCACCCGGTGATATAGACATATCGTATGGTTCGTGCAATTCGAAGCATCGCATTATTTGGTAATACGGTTATCATATACCTGTAAGATATTGTTATTTCTTAGTGTAATATATAATTTATTTTGTATAAACTACCACCGCCCTACAGCTGTATAGTCGTAAGGATACTTGGGTATTAGGCGTTTACATTTTGGGATAAATATTTACCAACTGTTTAGTGATAACAACAACAACATTATACTCGTTCTGTACAAGTATAGTATAATTTATCGCCGTGTACGACTTGTTCGTATAATACCGCATTATCTAAAAACTTCTTTGAGACAGTTTTTACTTTTTTTTCTCGGTAACTCTGTATCTGAAATTCTGAAGCGCATTTTGAACAATAACACTATCGAAATTATTGTGTACACGCTCTTATGTATCCATTTTAACACGTACATTTGTAGTTCGCAGAAATCTCAAACTGAACAATAATTTATTATTCGTCAAACATCTATACGGCTTGAGACGAAAAGGGTGAAATGAATTTATTTTTTTGTATTTGATATGACAATTTAATATTATTCATTTAGAATAAATGAGTTCCAATTTAAAATGTCATTGTAGCTACTGACTTTATAGATACACACAATATTAATGACTATGGAAGATTACCGCGAAGGTTATCTACATCATGCTGGTTTACAATATCATGTTATATTATGACTAACGTTATTGACAAAATATATTATATAATTGTATAAACACAAACAGTGAATCGCTACATTTTTTTGTTACCGAACTGTCCTTCAAATAACTATAACATAATTATTACCTTTTTTACCAATCATTTTATTTTATTTTAAAATATAATATATACTTACCTACGCATATTTTATGCCACGTCTATTAACGCTTTTTAACAACATAGCCTCTACATCTTTTTTATTTATGTAATTAAAAAAAAAGAATCAAATACGAATGTTACGGTTTAATTATTATTGCAATGTTGAAATAATTTATATTAAATTAAAGCGTAAATTAATTTTTTATGGTAAAAAAAATTGTACTGACAAGACGAACATGTTGAACATGCCAATTAGTTAAATAACTCGTGTTATGTTTATTTTTTTTTTTTAACTGATTTCAATATGTATCATGAATTTGGTCCAGGTTAGGTTAGTTGAATTCATTAAACTACTATATTATCCTATTCTTCAATAGCCATAAGGTATTATCGATTTCGATCGTCTGACACAAAACTGGTTAAACGATAAAATATCAAATACAGACGAAAATGATATCATCTATAGACTATGATACAATATTGTAAATTATCAGAATATCAATGCTTAAGGCGCCAAAAAAATGTCTCTAAAATCGGAACTTTGATGTGGTAATTTATTCTCGATAAAGTATTTTTTTTTTTTTTCTTATTAATATTTGTTAATTTTAGTAGAATTAAGTGTGGTATAAGCGATATATTTTATAGATATTTTAAATTAACAACAAAGTAATATTTTTAAAACAGCTGATTTATAAAATAAATAAAATATATTTGAAAAATTGTATATATTATTTTATATAGTAGTTATAATATTATATTATTATAATACAGTTTGGGGTTTCAAAACTAATAAGAAACATTAGGTATTTCTAATTTATTTAAGCTGTGTGAACACTTATAAATGTACAACGCATTTATAAGTATACAATATAATATTTAGGAATGGAGTGCGAGAACCATGTTATTTTAAAAATCGTTTTTCATTGCATTGAAATATTGTTTTACGTTCAATTTTTATTTTCTACACCGTTGTTTCACTGTATTTGGGCATATATACCTATATATGTATAAAAGAATAATCAATTTGTTGCAATACCTCATCTTTCATTTGAAACTCACTGATCTACACATTCGCGATGCTGCACTATATTACAATGCAATAACATGTTATCTTTCTCGTATACAGATATAAATATATAAATATAAAACCGGAGTCTTCTTATACTATTTTTGGTAGCTAAGAGACTTGTTCCAAAATAATATGATGAATATATATATGAAGAGAGAGGACACTGGCCGGTTTGTTGTTGGCTTCAATCAATTCTTGTTACGCTGCATTGACCTGAATTTGCCTTTCATGTGCGCTTAAATTAATATATATAGTCACAAACACGTGCGTTCAACCTCCGTATGTAGCGTTACCAGACGACACGTCGTTTCTGAAAGGTCAACGCGTTTTGAGGATTTTGATCAATCAACGACTAGCTTGCCGAGTATTATAGAGCGTATAATGCAATGAATGTATCAATGATAATTGAATAATAATGTAATAAATTGTTGACGCCCGCAAAGACCGCCTGAACAAAGTGCACGAAGTCCAACGACGAAAAGCGATGACAGTGTACGTATAATATACTCAACATAATTGTGTGTACGCCTATGTATGTATTTAAGTTTATATTACGCATATACTTGTACAGACTAAAGAGTTGCCTTACGCAAAAATAACGTACGATTTGATGGAAATTTTACGTTTTCGATTACGACATTGGTAAAATTGCAGCGGAAGTATCTTTACTACGGCAACACAACGCAATGTGTACAAACGAAGAGTTACAGCAGTGTGATTAAAATACAAATATATATATTATATTTTCTCTATTGCCGTCATCCTTTTCCTGAACTTATCTTGTATAATATACAGTTATTTTATTTTAACGTCGTCGCTGTTACCGGTTTGTCCAGTGGGATGTCCCATTGACGGCGGCGGCAGCAAACGAAATAGTAGGATTTGTTTTCAATTTATTCAAATAAGTAATGTGCGTGTATATGTATACAACGCGAGATTACAATATTTCCGGAGTTCATAAATTATAAACAAGCGTAAAATTAAATAAGAAAAAAATAAATATCCTACCTCATATGAATTCTAATGAGATCTCCCCTCCTAGCAGTTTTCTGCACGTTGTATAATACGACAATATAATACTTTTATTATATCTACCATATATATGTATGAGGTAAACGAGTTTTATTATTACTATTATTATTAGTAATATTTTCTTGGTCTCAATCCAAGTTGTTGCACTTTCGAATAGAATTGATCTAGTCACTGAAATCACGCCCCTGTAAGTGCATACGCAATTGTTTTTCTTTTATCATATAACTGAAAGCGAAATTTGCCCAAAATCAAAAACCGTATACTTAACGAATTATGAATATCTATTTTTTTTCATGTTGATAAGACATCAATAAAATAACCAATTATTCATTATGATTAATTAATTTATACTTGAAATAAAATATATACATTAACGATAACGAATAACTAATTTAAAATATCAATTATTGGAGTTTTATTATAACTAAATGCAATAGATTTTAATTATTTTATTGCTTTAAGTTATTAGAGTGAATATCATTAAAATTTGATCTTATTTTTACAATAACTTATACTAATTGTATACAATTTTATCTGTGTATTTTTTATTTTAAATATGGCACTATACTATTAATTAATTTGAGTATCAAAAAAGTTGACAAATATACATTTATTAGTACTATATAGATTATAATATTTTAGTTATAAATTACATTATTATAAAAATTGGGGGAAAAAATGATTTTTATGTCATTAAATATTATTTTTAAAAACTTCTTTAAATAGGACCAGAGACATCATAAACTATTAAATAAACAAAACTTTCCATGAGGTCTTCCGTATAATCGTTGGATAGGATAACAAATGACTTCATATTCTCTCTTCATTAATTTAACGTTATTTTTGTTGCGTTTATCTTTAACCATGATCTTTTGACGGGTTGACGGGTTATTAAAACCTCACCAGAGTCGTTCTGACTGGGAGCTTTTGATCTTGATCACTATCGGCTGTACTGTAGTAGTCACGTATAATAAAATATAAAGAAGGCGAAAAAACTTATTTCAACTATATAACATATAATAATAATTTGATTTTCTTTTGTTTTTGTAGTTTTTAAATTGTTTATTTGTATTTAACCACAAATTATAACTTCAGTAAGTATTGTTATTAATGTTAAACAATTAATTTTGATTTATAATAAATTATGTTGAAACTGTAAAATATTTTAAATTTCAACAACAAAACTGTTGTGTCGAAAAGTGACTCACTTTTACAATCTTAAGTATTAATAAAAATAATTATATACATTTTAATATATATTATGAATAATTTTTAATTAAAGATAATATAAAATAATATGTGTTATTAATTTTATATGCGGTATAAAGAGTTGAGTAGTATCATTGTAAGCCAGAATTATATAAGCTTCAGTTATTATTTTCATTGCATGTCACTGGCTTAATTAATTATAATTTATATTAAAATTATTTTGAGTAATAGTGACTAATATAACACTGACTTATTATATTTTAATACATAGGATTTAATTTCAATCTTTCGACTGGAACCTAAATCATCATATTGTGTTTATTGAATCGATACCTTATAAAACTTGACTTGTGATTGTAATATTTATTACACATAACCGTAGTATATATATATAGGTACTTATGTTTTAAACTGTATATTTGTTTATTATTTACGATTACATATTAATCTATTTATTCTAAAACTATTTTCATTCATAATAATATATTATATTATAAAGTTGTTATAAAATGTAGAAGAACAATTTTTAATTGCTATTGTATAAAATTTACTAATTACAAACAAATTTCATATGAATAATAAAAAAAAAAAATGTCATGTTTATAAATATAATAGAAACATAGAGCAACTGTACACATTATACGTGGTTCTATATAATTTTATGTAGGTACATATTATTATGTATGTGTATAAAACAATTTGAAAAAAAATTAGTATTATTTAATTCTGCTATTATATTATAATATATAATAGTTAAAAATGATTGTAAATAATTATTAAATTTAAGTCGAAATACACGTATCATGGAAATGACTGTGTCAAGTTAATTTATCTAACTTATTAAAAGATTAGAAAAAAAAAAATCATACACGCGTTTAGATTTTATAGATAATCAAAGAATGTGCACCAACTGTATATGTTAAAAATACAAGTATGTATGAAATTCCTAGTAGGTTTTAACTGATACATGTGTGAATGTGTAAATTATTATTACATCTTATTATTCCTATATTTTTTTTGTTTAGAATTACGATTCGATTCTTTAGTTCTTTAATCGAAAATAATAATATTATATGGTTGTGATAAGCTGTTGATAATTTGTATTTTTTTATTAAACACTTATCCGCCTAATACGAGTCCTTGTATTGCCGCTGACTCATTTTATTTAAATATTATTTTAAATTATATTTTCCAAAATATAAACTAACGCAGAAATATGATACGTATGTTTTACGATATTATGTACTATTATATGTTACCTATATGGATAAAAATAATGTCTTCAATGTTATATAGGTATTTTAAGAGGTAGGGCAATCGTCTCCAGAGGATAGGTTAGACTCAAGTGCTGATATATAAAAGTCAATGTTTGTAAATTATGATGTTTTTATTTTTACATTACTATTCTTTTAAAAGTATATGCTCTTTGCCTATAATAAAAATTCCAATGTGCTGATCACTTAAGTTCTTTATATTTAAATCGATAGTTTTAAAAAAAAAAAACATATTGTCTCTATAGATGTTGTACATTTTTTTGATATTCATTTTAGTTTAGTTTTATCAATGAAAAATAATGAATACTATACGAAATATTATTTGAAATATAACGGAAAATGTTTCTGATTTTCAATTAGGTAGTTTTCTTTTTTCATTTTTAATAGTATATATATATTATAAAAAAAACGTGATTATACTTGTGTCAGAATGAAAAAGTAGAAAAAATAAAAAAAAAAAATAATAATAACACTAATAAATAAAATTAGTGAGAATAGTTTTTGTGGCTGCTACCACCACATCGTTCGTTAGATAATAATGAGGCACGACTTAGCCTTGTTCGCAGCACATACTCTGCTGACATCAAGGTTCATCCAGATATATCGTATGATATTAATAATATACAACACACACCTGCGAGAGAGAAAGATAGTATAACAATTGAGGAGGAGAGTTTTAGATGAAAAACAATAGATTAAAAACATATTATTTAATAACAAAAAAAAAAAAAAAAAACATATAATAACGGCCACTTGTGTGTCGGTGGCGGCGGTGCGCTCCATAGGGGTGAGAAAGGAGTTGTACATTATTTTTTTTAACGTTCGTGATCTCACGCAGGGATTTAATAATTTATTGCCAACGTTAAATTATTGGCGTCACATAAGGTAAATAATATACATGCATAATTGTATACGCGTGCAGTACTCCCAAGGTTTATTATTGCATAACAATAAATAATAAAACGTTATAATCCAAAGGAGAATTATATATTATATTTCTGAGCAACAAGCGTATAATACGAATGCAAATCACAGCCAACTTTCATAAAATGCCCAAGAATATTTATAGGGAAATTGTCTTTCGTTTGCATATGAATGGCGTATACTTAAGAAGAGGTCGTTCAAGTAATGGTAAATCATTCAAGGTTCCAAATCCTTTTCTATTTTTAATAAACACGAAATTTTTATTGTTTAGTGCTTAGATATTATATGTACGTATATATACATTATAGTTGTATTATTATATTAATATTGAATTTGTCGAATTGTGTTTCAGGCGCATTTAATTCCGACCAAATATTTCACGGAAACAAGACGGCCACGGATTACTTCAAAATACTTCTCCAAGATCAGACGACTGCACTTATAGGATCTAGGTATTTTATATTTTAACTTTATATATTATATGCGTGGTACGTATTATACATGCCTAATTAATAAAAACACCGTACCGTGTGTGGAATACGTGTCGGGGGTGTTAGCGTTACGGTGGATCGATTTTTGAGGAAGGTGCAGGATAGACAGTCGATAAGTCCGTAAACGCAAACAAAGAACCAATACGATGACTTGGCGTTAAGACAGGATACATGCTCTATGAACCATTAATATTTTACGAGTATTATAATAATAGTAGTAGACGGGTACAGTTTTTGACTGTTCTCTTATATTCAATTTCAATTTTATTAGTAGGTAATACAAACGTTTACACTATACTATCGTTAGAAAGTATAAATAAATATATTACACATTATAATATAAAAGTCATTTAGATGTATATATATATATTATATATTATTTGAATCTATATAGTGCTCTGTGAAGTTTCAAAAATTTCGCACGGATCAGAAAGTATCTACAAAACTATGAAAAAACAATTTATGCTCTATTTATACATATTTTATGCTGATGCATTGTGCTGCCTTTTGTTCCGGTAATGCATTTGTCGCAGAATTAATTGACTTTTAACTTCAGTATTTTGATATTTTGAAATTATTTGCCGTCATTTAATAATTTACAATCTATTTAATTTACATTTAATATACGTAAAATTATAATTCTGCCCTTCATTCATAAATCACTTTTAACAGTTAAAATATTTCGATACTCAATAGTTAACGGTTAAAGAGTAATCGGAAAATGTGATACCTAAACATTAATGTATTATTTTCTGTCTCTTTTCAATACCCTCACCGCATAAAATTTCAGATGTATATTCTATTCCAACGTACCAACTGAGTGAAGCGATAAGAATTCTGACATCAGGTTTGAGTTTTTCGTCAATGTCAATCTACTTAAGATCATTTTTAAATAAAAATGTAAAATATGTGTAAGAACCGATCTTAAGAAGATTACTTTAAATTAAAATTGTTTTAGAAATATTATTACTCATTTGTTAAAGCAATTGATACCTATGTTAGAAATAGAACATGTCATTTAAACTCTTATACGTTATTACACTTGTTGTACCTATTAGGCAAAGTCAGAAAATCACCACTTTCAATTATCTTAAGGACCTATTTAATTTTTTTTTTTAATAAAAATTATACTGACTTTTTTAAAAGGTGAATAAGAAGAAAATATATTTATTTATTCTACCATTTAAAAAAATCAAAATATCGTGAGATTATATTTAGTACACACATTGGTAAAAAAAAAAAAAAACTATAATTTATCAAATTCAAATTAATTTTGAAATTGTTTTTCATTTTAAAAATATAAGCAGATCTTCTTTGAAATAAATAATATTATTTATGTTGAATTGTAGTTGATATTAGTGATTTGTTTTTACCTAACCAAAAAAATGTATAGGTATAATAAAATAATTTAATCCAATAATTATAAATATTGTAATAAGCTAATAGAAAAAAAAAACTATTAACTATTATAAATAGTTAATATAATTGTATAATTTTTATTAAAAACTGCTTGGTTTTGAAATTTTAATTTAATTTGATGTTAAATCGTGTAAGATCATACTGTATAATCGTTTTCATATTCATTGGCAAACCTATGCTTGAATTTTGATTACAATTTTCATCGATTAATCTTAGGAAACAGAAAAAAATAATTAACAATTATTTTGTGTAATGCAATTAGTACTTATAGTTATGTAATTATTTGAATTAAAAAGTTTTTTAACATTCTAAAGCAAACGTGATTTTCACGTTATACCAGATATATGTAAACTATGTAAACGCAGATGTTAATCACACTAATTGTTATTTGTAATTATTTTGTAAAATTGTAAAACCAAATCGCTGTAACTATTCAATAGTCAGTAATGTTTTAATGTATAACAATAAAAAATTGCACTCTACTGTGATTTGATATTATAGTTTTTTTTCTTATCACATCGTCTTTTGTTTACGTTAAAATTACGTGCTAGATTTGATTGAAAATTTTTTAATTTCAGAAATGTACTTTACAACATCAGTTTGGACACCATGAAGGAAAATCACGTGAGTAAATTAAATTTTGTTGTATTTTATTCTCACCGTAAAGTACGGTATAACATATATTTTATTGTGCAACTTTTTAATAACGTTAAGAACTCGTATTTAAACAATAGTTCGGACAGACTAATGTATAAAACTGTAGGCTCTAGTGGAATATATATTATATGTATACATAATAATAATATGTACATTGATAATCTAGTGGAGTTCGACGCATTTTGGAATTGCTTTTCCGGTCCGTTGCTTCGAGTTCTTTGTACTCTTGCCTGGTTTGGTCACTTCGAACGAAACGGTGTATAGGTGTATAATATGCGGTTAACACGATATTTTCCGTAACCCCTTCCCCCACCCTATGCGTAATATGTATATATGTAAACCGGTGTAATATATAAACACACTGGTTTTTTATTTTTCAATCTTAAATGTATTTTGTGTTGATGACAATAACGGATTTAGCCGCTTAGTTCTCTCGAATCGTCATGTTATAGTGACCTGCCGGAAACATCGTTTTACTAACTACGTAGTAGGTATACATATAAATACCAAATTATCAACTGAATAATAATGCAGCAAATATATGTCATCTGAATAATATAAATAAATGGTACTTACTCTTTGATACACAAATGCGTATACATTTTTTTACGTAGGTATATCAAACTTATATAAATTGCATAAATTATACGTAAAATGGAAGTACCTATGGGCGTTTATTTAATTTTTTTCTATAATCGCTAGTATACGGTAATTTTTAAAACCAGTTGATTATAAATTTACCAACCTCATTACGCATACATTTATAATGTATAATATGTAAAAGGATTCGATAAGTTTGTTTTTAAAATTAAGAAATAACAGGTTTCTATTTATTGAGTATTTAGATTTCGAAAAACTTTAATATTGTAATGATGGTACTCTATGAGCAACACACGAAGAGCCGAAGGTTACGTCATTGTAATTATTATAATAATATTTATAATCAAAACATTTAATTTAAACACTAATTTATTTTTTTATTTTCTTTTCTTTTTATTTTGCAATAAAACATTTTGCCCTTAAACATTATCTGTGGGTGATATTTATTCATCTTGATTTGATCATATCAAGACGAAAACTCTTTGGAAAAATACAGGTAGATAGATATTACTGCGATCATTCTTATTAGTTATTTCACAAATTATAATGATTATAATTTTTGAATCATACTTTGATTAAACTGCTTATAAATCTTATAAAAACAACAGATGTTTACTATTACCATAACGTAATAAAAATTAAAGAATAAAATATTTTACAGCTGCAATGAGCTTATTTTTAGTTAGACGAGTTTAAAACTATTAAAAGATAAGAAAGTAATATAATATATTACGATTTATGTTTTATGTATTTGCTTTCTTTGTTCTTTTTTTAAAGAAAATCCAATCTTTTTTTTAGTTTTTAGTGTTCATCCGTAATTATAGAAGCCTCACATTTATAATAATCCTTTTCAAATACTAATTTTATATACCCGTAATCTATTTATTTATTTTTGTGATAAACTTAATAAACAACTGTTTTATTTCGTTAAGTAAAAAAATGGTAAAAATATGGAACACGTTGTAGACAATAGTTAAACATTCAAAAATATTATATATGTTGAAAATAAAATCCAAATGTATACAGTATTTTATGTTTAGATTATCTTGATTTAAAAAATAAAACAATCATATAAGTTTGTTATAATAATTATTTTTTTTAATTTTCATACCTTCTTTGATAATTATACTTACGTTCATCTTACACATATTATATTTAAACATTCAAATTGCGACATAGTTTGTTCAACGATTTAGTTTAAGAACAACTTTTTCTTATGTATTATGTATATAATATAATATTATATAATCTTAAAATTATTTAAATTTACATTGGTTATTAAAAGACTTGAGGTTTGATTCATTATTTTTTATTTCATATATCATTTTTACATTTTGACTTTTTTTTTTTACACATTATTATATTGCATATGCCTATATTGCATAGTTTTTTGTAGTTCTGATACCGTTGCATACAATATTATATACATGTATTCGATTATCGTAAAAAATTAATCATTTTTACTCTCTTGTATTCATATTTTTTCTATTGTTATAGCCCAAAAATACATAATTAATAAATACCTGCGCAAGTAATAGTCTAATCAATAACAATGAAAAACAGCGGTATTGGTGAAAGAGTAGGGCACGTGTGGGCCTTCTTTTGTTTGGGTTCACCAGCGTGTTAACGTGTTCTGGTTATTTCGCAAAATTTGAACAATATAAAAATAATTATTATCTATCGGTGTTGTATGTGTTTCGAAGAAACACTACATTGTCCTTCTAATTAATGGCTCGACAAAGAAAGACGAAGGGAGAGGAAAGAAAGAATGAGAGTGGGAGATATGGCATTATAGGTACCACTAGGCCATTAAAAATATCCTTGTTAAGTATCAATTAGGCTTCAGGGCCACGCTGGGTGGTGTTGTGTCCGAAAATCTGCTGGGAGGCTTAAACACTTTTGATGAACAAATTATTTGCTATAGTTTCGCTCAAATGAACATAAGAATTATTTTCAAAATTGCAAGTGTACCTATACATGATAATATTCACGTAATCTATTGAGTGCTTAATGAAAAATGTTGTTATTTTTACTTTTATTATTATTATAATTTAATGATAATACTTTTTATGGATAGAATTTCCGGTTGACTCTGATGTCATTGTTTTGAAATGAAAGTAAAGTGAATTATCGTATATTTTTTATCTTATGCGATTACCGTTATAAAATTAAACTGTTGGATGACTGTAGGGTAGGAAAATAAAAAAAGATTAAACTTGTGACAGACATCGTGGGTAGACCGGTAGTGTTTGAATGTGACAACACATTTTATGATTGATGAGCTCTGTCGGTAAATTACGAATTAAACATCTACTGCGTAGAATGTATCTATAATATAAGTTTAAACTTAATATGTTGGCATGTTTCGGGGACAAGTCGCTTTCTAATAAATTAGAATTTCAATTGCACAATTGCCCGGTGAGAACATTTCCGCAACACTTTTCATTTATATCGATATATTTTAGTTAGTACTTTGTGCAACATGTTGGAATAAAGTCTCTGTATGAAATATGAAAAAAAAAAGACATTCAAGTTACATCGAAAACTTAAAGGCTAAAAGTTTTTTTTGTATTTGAACAAGGTACGTGTTGAACTAAAAGTTAATTTTTTATTTATGTATTCTAAATAAAACATTGTGAATAACTCTAAAATCTTGGTATTTATTTTTGTTTTATGCGGACAAAACTCGATGAATTTTTTAAATTGTTTAATTTCGAAACATACTGTATACACGTATAAGAATTTATCATAACTTTAAAATTTTATCAAAAAAAATTTTGAATTGAGGTTGTTTATGGTTTCATCAGATGTACTTTCTTAGTTATAGAAAAAATTAACTGTTTTACTCATCTAATGTATAAACTTAACTAGAAAAACTTTTTTACAACATTTTTATGAAGACCTTAAAGTAATCATTGTGTAACTTAAAAGCTTGTTGTTTGTTTTTAATTCTGTTTATATATTTAGGTACGTAAGGTAAGTAGACTTAATGTAAATTAAATAAGTAAACTGCAAAAAACAAAAGGGCGTATACGAACTTCTATGGTTTAATTCATCAAGTCAGATTCAATTTATTCTATGGTTACAAATTTTCAATATGGTAATGCTAATAAAAAATGACTTAAGGTCATATATAAAAACCACCCCGTTCAATAATTTTATCGCAACAGAATGTTGCGTTTATCTATCATATAACTCATTAGTTTCAATTTACCTTATCGTGAAAATTAGTTTTTGTATTCCTAGTTATATATATTATACATATAATGAACATCTAACACGGAATATATAGATTTACTAATACCGCGTACATTATACCACAGTGATACCACTACGGAATGAGAATAATGTTTTCAATTGCGTATACTTCGTATTTTTAAAGCTGAATTGGATACTATTATCGTTTGCATCGCGTATATTCACATAACGCAGCCTTCGTTTTAAATATAGTATACGCATATATATTGTTTTCTAATAAGTTTTGCCGTTTATAGAGTGCATTGTATATACTTGATGACTCATTGACGTAATTTTTTTTGGGGGGAGGGGTATGGACGGGCTGAAGCTCCGAAACAGTGTGAAACCCACTCAAGTTTTTGGTTAAATGTCTAAACATAATATTGTTAAATTTTATTTTACAATTATACTTGTAAAATTTAAAAATACCTATTATATTTACTATAAACAAATAGGTACATAAAATATTTAATTAGTGATTCAGTTTTCAACTTGAATAAAAAAATAAACTGTATACTTCAAATAAAAACGACTATATATATAGTATAAGTTTCCATCTAGTAGACACTCGATAGTCCTATGCCGTACGTATATAAGCGTATTTATAATTTGTGTTTTGTACTTAATATTTTTATCTAAATCTAATAACTTGAATGGTCTTTATCATGTGGAGAGATAATATATATAAATAGGTATTATATTACAAACATGATTACAGAAATTATTATCAAATTTATATTTAAATAAACCATAAACGAAAAATATCAAAGAACGTTTTATCCTTTACAAGTTACGACATTACGATAATCACACGTATACTATTTTCTGACAGACACTAAAATAACGTTAACTGTGGGATTATACCAAAGATAATAAAGATATGGATATATCAACAATTTATGTGGGGTCGCAGTTATTTTGTGAAAAAGACTATTATAGTATATTATTCATGCACTTGGGTGGTTTTTCCTTCTAGTATGGAATATTGTTTGATTCATAAAAAATTCCCTTTTGATATTAATTATTTTGTTATCTATGGATATTACGAGTTCGTATAGTTCTTTACCATAAAATATAAGTATTAATCATCAACATTATTGATACCATTTAGTTTTACACGCAGTTCTATATAAATATAATAAATATAATTCTATGAGAAGAACACTATTTGTATATAGTATTAATATTATCTATATATTATATTAGATTTATTAAATTAAATAAACAAATTTAGATATGTTCAAATAGATCTCATGGAATTTTATGTAATATTTGTATAAATCATAAATTAATAATGTTATAACTGTACGTCTGTGTTCCCATAGTTTATTTTCCTATCAAAAATTGCAAAACTCCATCTCCTTCCCAGCCTTAACTTACAGTCTTGGTAGTTACGTGTATTTCGCTCTCGCTTTATACCTACTCCACATAACTTGTTTGAATTAGTTGAATACGTTATTATTTTGAACATTTTAATTCACATATTGGAAAATCGTCTGTTAAATGTCATCCCGTGTGCTTACCATTTATCTGCGCCGTGTTTAATTTCGTCCTATTATTTTTAACCCTAGTCTAACGAGTTATATATATATATGTACACAGAACTAAACGCGCGTACATAATATTATGTGAAAAAAGGGGGTGTGCGAGGACGTTGTGTACCAAAAGCGTCGTCCGACGGGCGGCTAGGTTAGTATTCAGTATATATGTATATTATACATATACGTACACGCGTTATAATAATACCCGTTACCCTATTTTATTTTCTGTTCCAATCGACAACAAAAATAAAACCAGCCGAGAATCCGTGCCGGTCCACGACCACGTATCGTTTCAATATGTCTTTAGAATACAATTATTTTATTACTATTATTTATTTTGATGGTACAGTGGGTTCGAATTACGCACTCAATACTCGTGCGTTGTCACAATTTTCCTTCACATTATCGTTCTAATGTTAAATACATTACGCTTATAAATGTATATTAAAGGTAATATATTATGACAAATAACTATAAATATTGTGTATAATATTGTTATATAGTGGTGTTTTATTTTTCTCATAGTACGTTTTATATTATTATTTTTTGTTCCGTGAAATCGAATATCCGTTTCCGCCATGCCAGCGGTATTTGGTTTCACGTTGTTAATTAATTACCTAGTTAATAAAACACGTGTAATACGTACCCGAATTGTCTATTGTTATTATGATCATTATTATTGTATACGTTTTTACAATTGTACCTGCTGCATTACTCCATACGTGCTTTTTAGCTAGATTACGAAAACGTACGATAATATCATATGTACACGCGTGGTTTCAATTTGTTAATGAAATGCGAAGTGAAACGCGAGTTTTTGTTATCAAAATATATTATTGTTTTTATCGTAATTCATAATATTTAGCACGTTAATGAATTGTTTAGATATAAAAATTAAACTATTTAATCTAAACCATTAATAAAACGGACTGGTTTACGTTATAGCTCCTATCTTAAATTATACATAGTACATTTTTATATATTATAATGTAGACAGGTGAATATGTGTAAGACCTCTACCGTTGGAAAGTCTCTGAAATAACTCTTTGTTATTATATATGTTTCCCTAAGAAATTTTAATTACAAGATAGGTTTGAGATTAAGTAATCGACCTAAATTAGATGTGCTTCCGCGTAATTGTTTTACTGATGACGTTCTAGTTTACACTAAACAATAAACCAAAAAGTTTATATGTTTTAATTGTGAAAATAAAATTAATTTATTGCATTTGTTTTAAGTGATGAATTTGTTTATATTTTTTCAGAAATACTATTGGAATTCCTCGGAAGCTAACTATGAAATGTGTCAGTTGAAGGGAAAATCTGAGGTAGATTTAATATTTTTTTCTATTTGATTATTTAATATTATTATTATTATTATTATTATTTATGTTAAAAAATTTGGCCTAATCAAATAGTTATGTTTTACATCTTTTGTATCTAATTTCAGGACGATTGCCAAAATTATATAAGAGTCGCATACAAAAAGAACGACGAAGAGCTGTTCGTTTGCGGCACCAACGCTTTTCACCCGATGTGCAAAATATTTAATTTGACCGTAAGTCATAACTCATAATAATTCATGTATACAATACATTATATATTTATATACAGCTAATAATAACTGTGGTTTTTTCGGACGTAGGACGGCACCAAAGGCATAGAGGAAATGGATGGACGGGGTAGATGTCCATATGACCCATTACACAACAGTACGTCTATATATGCCGGCGACCAATTGTATTCTGGAACCGTAGCTGACTTTTCCGGTAGTGACCCGCTCATATATAAAGAACCGATGCGGACCGAACGACTAGACTTTAAGCAACTGAATGGTATGCATACAACCGTTCACACGGTCAATGCAATATACGTATTATGTATATTTGTGTAAAACAGCTATAACCGCTTTATATTTTATAATTTTTATAGATCCGAATTTCGTGAGTTCGTTGGAATACAAAGATTACATATTTTTCTTCTTCAGAGAAATAGCCGTCGAATACATAAACTGCGGAAAAGTAAATAATATACACAGATTGCCACCCATGGCAGCTAGTGCTAATATACTATAACAATGAAATTACGAATTTGCAGACTATTTACTCACGAGTGGCCCGAGTCTGCAAACACGATAAAGGTGGTCCGCATTCGTACAGGGATCGATGGACGTCGTTCTTGAAAGCTCGGCTCAACTGTTCCATTCCGGGCGAATATCCGTTTTATTTCGACGAGATCCGTATGTATACATATTATCGTGTTTAAATATAATTCATATATATAAATATGTACATGGATGTAGCGTGGGCGGGGTAGCGGGGCAGTAACTCCTCCTGCGCTTCAAACTAAATTCTATTTCTTAAATCAAACGCTTAAATTTTACTATAAAATGTGGAAAAAGCAAAAAAAAAAGAAGTTATCAAATGCGCCCCACGCCTGATTAAAATCCTAGCTACGTCTATGTATATATAGATAAATAATCAAAGATCGCAAATAATGCATTTTTTCGACGTATTTTTTATGTTATCAGAGGATACCAGTGACATATTGAACACGGCTCTGACCGGCATCGTCGACCCGATTGTTTACGGTGTGTTCAACACACCTGTGAACGCTATCAGCGGCTCGGCTGTGTGTATGTTTAACATTAGCGACGTCATCGAGACTTTCATGGGTTCGTTCAAGGACCAGGAGGCTATGGACTCCAACTGGTTGCCTGTGAAAAAGGTATGGCTTGTATATAATCGCTCAAATCGCTGCATCATATACGCATAATGATAATAATACATCAAAGTTAATTCGTTCTCTTCTCTTGTGAAAACCCATTATATTATAATTCCGACTATTGGCAAAAATTAAGGAAGGGGATTTGTTGACCTTACACCTATTTATTTTGTTGCGATTATTATCATTATGATCTGTCCTCCTCAATAATTTAGACTGTTTGCGTCTACGAATATATAATTACACGTTTATGCGTGTCATCGTGTATTCGTGTACAGTATATTTATTGTTCATTTTTTTTAACAACTTTTTTTTATAGATCCCTGAACCCCGTCCCGGGATGTGCGTAGAAGATAGTCGAACACTGCCTGACATAACAGTGAATTTCATTAAAAGCCATTCACTGATGGATGGTGCGGTACCGTCGTTGTTCTCCAAACCGATTTTTACTCGGATATCGCTCCAATCCAGGTTGACCAGTATCGCAGTGGATAATCAGATTTCCGGTCTAAAAGGACAGTACTACGACATTTTGTTTATGGGCACAGGTATACAATAACGCTTATTATACGATTCCCGACAGTTTATGATACATGTGTAATACTAAGACTATATTTGTGTTAAAAAAAGTTCCTAATTGACTTATATAAAATACGACTTCGTAATACACTGTAATCTATATAATATATACAATAACCATTATGTATGTTTGTAGACGACGGGCGATTAGTCAAAGGCGCTTTGCACACAAACAATGGTCTGCCCGAGTTCATCAACATCGAAGAAGTAAATCTCACCTCTAACAACACGAAATCACTACCGGTCCGGACGTTAAACATCATTAAATCGGTCGATGGCAAACCGGGACGAATAGTGATCACGTTCGACCAACACATCATTTCCGTGCCGTTGGACCGGTGCTATCTGAAAACGACTTGCCAGTGAGCATAAAATAACTATTTTATTAATTTACGATTTTACAATATTGAATAAGCGAAAGAGGTTTTAATGACTCTGTTATCCGCAGAGAATGTATCGATCTACAAGATCCATACTGCGCGTGGGACGGGTCGCATTGTGTTAACCATTTGGAGATCAAGGGTTCGTCTAAACAGTATTTTATTCAGTCTATCAGCTCGTCTCAGAATAATGTTTGTCCGAAAGGTATGTATACTATAACATCATAATTTATGAAAAAAAAAAAAAATACAACCGTTGATGTGTTTTTAATACCGTTTTCGTTTTTTTTTTTTTTCGTTTTTCAGTACCCTTCGATGACAAGTTCGGACATTCTTCGTCGTTGGACGGTAAGTGTCTAGGCCTTGACCGTTAATAGCTTAACCTCGAATTATCATTAATCCTCTTATTATTATATTAATCCTACGTGTATTATATACAGATAACAATATCGACTCGAACGTGCCGATGTGTCCGTCGTGTGCTCCCTGCTACACCGAGAACGTAATCAACAGCGAGAGTGAGTACCGCCGTCTGACTGACATCATAATAAATAATATCGTTACACCAAAGTTCTACGGGATAATATTAATATTATTATTTTATCCCCGTTGTGCGCAGGCGTTACCGACAAGACGTCCGAGATGCCAGTGATCTCGCTGGGCGACGTCATCGGGCTGCTCATGATGATGTGCGTGCTGGCCACGCTGCTCGTCGGGTTCGTGGCCGGTTTCGTGTGCTCGCGGTACTTTCGGCACGCCGCCGATCCGTTTTCGTCGATGGCCGTTCACGCCCATCACCAGCTTAACCGACTGGCCGATATGAACGGCGCCGCGGAAATCGGCACCGCGCCGTTCCTGCCGTGCCCCAACAACAAGGCGCCGATCAACCTGCTGGTGAACGTGACCAAGTGCAAGAACGACACGCTCGAGAAGAACTTGGACTCGGCGGTCGAGAACAAGACCCTGCAAAAGGTCAAGAAAACGTACATATGATGTGCGCGCGGGCGCGTGTGGTGTACGAGCGAGTGGCCACCGACCGACCGCCGCTTCCGGTTTCGTCTCGCCCGCGGGGACCGGATCTGGCCGGGGCCCGGTGGAGAAACACAGTGACTGATTTCTGCGACCTGTGCGCAGCCGCGCGTTGCGTGCCGGCGTACAGCGTATAAGATGATATTATATTATGTTATTATTATAATTACTATTATTATTATTATTATTATTATTATTATTATTATTACTATCATTATCATTATATATTGGTACGGCGGTTGGTCGACTGGTCGACGGCGAGACAAGGCGGTTAAAAGATCTCAGACTTAATCAAAACGAAAAAATTAAATAATATACTATGTATATTAAGTATGACCGTGTTTATATATGGATACTGCAGTATATATGTTCATGGAACGGCAGTTCGCATAGACTTTCGCCGAGTAAGTCAACCGACGTCCATTATTAAATACCTTTACGAATGTTGTCAGCACGACTGCACGTCTAACGCGATATGACACATTCCTTACAGTAAAATTACATTATGAGCTTATTATTGACAATTTTTATTATTATTATTATTATTATTACTACTAATATAACGCAAATTATATTATATTATAACGTATGGTACGATTTTGGATATGTTGTACTCCGTGATGTGTTTTTATCACGAATTATTGTTGTTAAGACTTGAGATATGTATAGACACGTCCGCAGATATATTATTTATTATGCATTGATTTTATGTTTCAATATTATTGGTGTCGTCATTATTGTAACGATAACTATTGATTATATATTTTTTTTTTTTTTTTTTATTAATAATTTGCGTTGACGCCAGCAAACGCGGCGGTCTGTCAACGGACTTAGAACTTTGAAGAGGACCAAATGTTTCCAATGACTTGTAAATTATATTATATACTATACATATTATATTATGAGTAATTCGGTGTAAATCGTACTCGATGTATTTTCGTGAATTATTATCGTTATTATTTAGTTTTATTATTTTTGCGAATGGACACGAAACTTCTTGGGATAGTGTCATTAATTTTAACTATGAGGATTTACTATTCCCCAATCACGATCACAAAAATCATTGATGTGTAAATGAAAAAACGAAAAATGTTAATTAATGATAATTATAGATGATATACAGTATTATTATTTTCATAAGAACTCAAATTTTGTTTGCGACAACTATGTACAAGAACAGTCCATTGATTAATGATTTCTTATGTGCAATACACAACTGAATGCACGCCCCTTTTTTGATCTCTAAATGTAATATTCTTTAAAATTTAAGTGCCTTTTGTAATCAATGTTTTTACCTTGAATAGGATATTAATTGTATATTTTTACTATATTTAAGTATGTTGTGCATTATATTTATTTATATTAATGAACTTCCAATATTGTAATTAGGCCTAAAACGATATTTTACATGTTTAGAGTAATAATATTGGTTACCACTGTTTATATTTATTTATGAATATACATAAAAACATATATAGTTTTTATATTATAATCTGATTATAATTTACATTATTAATTTTTGAACAACTAGGTTATTTTTTATTTTTTATTGTCTATTTTTATATTTCTTATTATTATGCTTAATATGTTAAAAAAATTTTTGTATGGACCAGTGCATTTTATGCACTAAGAAAATGTATAGAATTATTATTGTTGAAATATAGTGCCTTATAAACAGTTAACACTGTTAATATTTTTATATTTTAATTTGTTCATTGTAACTAGAAATTGTTGTTAAATTTTAATACTATGGTACAATAATAATGGGTAAATCTAGAATATCTTATCACATACAATATACTTACCTAAAGTTTTAAATTATATGCTGAGATAGATATAATATAATTTTACATTTTATCCTTCTTTTACATATAATTTATTAACAAAAATAAATATTATATGTTATATCCATCTTACAAGTGCGTAACATATCAAATTTACATTTAACTTTGTAAGTTTAAATATTAAAATGGATTTACCGACTATTTAATTTAAAGGTAAAGTTTTTTGTAATTTATTAAGGTCTTTTTTTTTTTCTTGATATTTTAATTCTGAATTATGTATCAGAAATTAGAATATTAAATATTATTACTAAAACATTTTGTCTATGTGTCGATAGTTCTGGGAATGAATCTAATTGTTAATGAAAAAAGGGGGTGTGCTAGATACAAATGTATTTTTTGAATAGTTCGCATACATTAGCAAAGATGAATTAAGTGGGTTATGGGACCCACAACAAAACCTTTCCAAAATATTGAGTTATGTTTATGTTTAAAATCAGCGTGATATATTATGGTATTATTGTATAAAAAAAAAAGATAAATATTTGTAACTCGAGACATGAATTTATGGACAATTTTAATATAAATCGATTTAAAATTATTTAAACGATTTTTTTTATGTAATTGTATACTTACTAAAATAATACAGAATTCGATCAAATTATATATTATTTACTTCAGTGTTTTATTTAGAACAGAATTAAAAACCAATCATTCTAAGTATACTTATGTTCGGCTTTTAAGTGTAAATTAGTTTCTTGTAAGAACAAAATATCTTATTTTATTTATTGTAATAACATAACGTGCATTAAACGGGCGGTACTAGTAGCGTTCTGGAGCCTCTCACTTAATATTAATGGTTGTTTACTATGTTACTAACATAACAATTGTACGTGACCTTACATATTATGACGTATAAATTGCCTATCAAATACTCCTTAAAATCAAGATAAGACTAGCAAATTATAATATATTATAATAACAATGTTGTTTAGATTTCGATAAATATGGGGGGGCATAGCTTTCACTTTGAGAATCTTTATTTATTAATTATTAATAAGTTATTAAGATTTTTTACATGTTTTATAGTTCTAGTGTGTGTCAACCTGATTTTAAACCTTATTAGTCAATTATTGAAGACTAATTACAAATGTATCATTGAATCACTGTACCAGAAAGATATTTAGTATCTTTACAAGAGCCTTCAAGATATTCCGGCATAACACAGCTATCCTTTACCATCTTATTCCACATTTTTTTTCTACTTGGTACATTCAATTGTATAGAGTTGTTATTTGGTATTCATATCTATTTTGTGATCAACTGCAAACTGAGTAAGTCTAAAATTGCTTTCTTTCGTTTGCAACTCTTTTTTATATGACTATACTTTAATACGCGATATTGATGACTTTGCATTGATCATCTTACTTCTTAACGGTACTCTCAAAGTCCCCGATTTTATTATTTTCTATTTCCTTCTATATATTTCACCCCATTTCACGAAAAACCAGTCTTTATTTTCAATTCCTACTCATCTTACCTCATAAGAACACAACCAATCATTATAAAATGTTACACCGGTTTAACTAACCATGGCTTAATGTCACTTTTATTTGTTTTTACTTAATTTTTATATTCTTGTTAACATAGTTATCTAATGCCTCTCGAGGTGTCTAATTATCAAACAAATAAATCTTCTACCTAGAACGTATAGTTAAATGAATTAAGTAAGTCCTGAAGATTTTAGGTAATTTAATTGTAAGACGAAGACCATAAAAATACATTCTATATATTATCTTTAATATTTGAAACATTTTTTTTTTTTTATGTTTTTATGTATTATGGTACTTGTATATAGGTATTTCGAGTATTTACAAAGTAATACAAACATAATATTCTTTAATACGTAACTTAATATAAATTCTAAATTAAAACAAAACAAAAAAACATTATAATTTTTGTATACACAATAATATCATAATAGCGTACAACGCGTTTAACTATAGTTTTTTTTTTATAGGTTTTTAAACAATTTATTTTGTACGCGATAATAATATCAAAATATATACTTCTACTGTATTATAGGCAGGAAGTGTACACACAAACGACATCATGACGATTACTGAGGACAGGTAGGCAATAATGTTATGTTTGTTGTCATCGTTTACAGACGCGGCGGAACACTGCAGCAGCCGGTACGGATCGGCCGCGCGCGCGATCGACTACGGTTACCAAGTGTGCCGTTCACGCGGTTTTCTCGGCGCTGCGGTTAATTATTTCCCGTCGGCCGTTCATCCGCACTGATCCTGTTAAAATCAACAGACGAAGTCGGCGCGTGAGGGGAAATCGAAAACTTTTCACGCGTCACCGACGGGCACGTCGCGCTTGCCGCCGCGTATCAGGTAACGTTCGCGGCGTCACACCGCGGAAAAGCGCGCTCGTCTGCCGGTCTTCACGGCGCATGCCGGGCAGCGGCGGCGGCGGCGGCAGTCGGTCGCCCACGGACACGCTATAAACTTATTCGATTATCGACCGACGGAGCCGCCGCGACCGCCACAGCAGTCGCGCCGCACTATACCAGCGTACCGCCGCCGCCGCCGCCAGTAGTAACGCCGTCTCCGGTCGGAACGCTCAACGTTTGGCCGGCGCGCGCTCGTTCGGTCGTGGTGTGTGTGCGTCGCGTGCGATCTCCTCCGGCGTTAGGCGCGTGTGATGACCGTCGTCGCGGTACCGCGGTGGTGGTGAGCTGCAGGGATATCCGGTCGGGAAAACCGTCGAAAATCAGTCTGTTGCGGGTAAGTCGTCCGGCCGGCGCGTATTATTGTTCATATTATTCTTTGCAGGGGTTGACGACGATAGCGCGACGTGACGCGGCGAGGTGCCTGCAGTTACGTCTGCTGCAGGATATCCGGCAGCCGGGCTTTCTGCTGGTTGTCGATGAACTCGTTGATCATGTTGTCGACGGCCTCGTTGTCGTAACAACCGTAACGCCGCAGCGACAGCCCGTCTTCCGGCGTCGTGCCGGCGGCCGCGTAGACCTTCCCGCGACGCCGCCGCCACTGACGTCGCCGGTCGTCCCGTTTGCCGGAAAATTTTTTTTTCAGCGCCTGCAACCGAAATAAATCCGTTAAAACACAATGCTTAAACAACTGCAGTGCTACACTCAAATGTACGCGATCGAGTGCACGTACAAAATATAATACATAAATCGGCGATATTAGAATATTACGTCATGATCAAGTCGTGTGCAGCAGTATGTATAGGGAACATGCTAGTCATCGGTTCTCAACCCGTACACCGCGCGCGTAGTCCACGGCCGAAAAATCGTTAGCGATTTATAGTGCCCGGCAAATGGTTTCACGATTTTTATGTATTGCCCCAGTGCACGCGTTTCGGCAGTTATTAAATTTATTGTCTTTATGCGGTCAGGTTATGCGGCGCCAAACGGGGTGGTTAATGTGGTTGACGACGAAATAGTTAAAAAAATAAATAAAAAAAATACCCAGTTCCCGCGTAAACGCTTAAGCTAATAATTCCACCACCGACGAACGCCGCTCGCGTTCAATTTATTTTATAACAAGTGGCTTAACGTTAAGTTAACCAAAAATCCGCGATTGAAATCATGAATTTCAAAACTAGAACGGTAAAATTTAATTATTCAATATTCAAATTGTACCTATATTGGCTATATTATACATAAATGTTGTATATCCCATCGGTACTCAATTATTTGCAAGGCGCAAACCAATGAAAATAAAAATACTCTATAACTTCGCCTGGAATAACACGCTATTCCAATACGCAACTATTGAATATTTTGTATCTACGTGCGCCGTAAATTGTATTTATTTTTGAAATAATACAATTGAATTCAGAGTTTTTTAACGTTTATTATAATGCCTTTAAATTATAATCTATTTATACATAATATAATTGTGTAAATTCATACTGTTTCTTTAAAATATTATTATCTTTCTAAAGATAAAACGAAAAAAAAATATTTAAATAAGTTTGATGCTATGACAACTAATATTTAAATTGTGGATCTTCTTTTAAAAAATATTTTTGGCGTTTACATTTTAATCATATTTTTACACACTTTATTTTTTCTTTCAATAGCTTTACTCACTAAGACTCACTCGGTCAAATATTTATATACTAAATAGTTATGTATATTTTTTATTACCATCCTCCATCAATTTGTACCACTTTCAAATTCATAACCGTCGCCCAATCAAATTTAACACTATGTTCTAATTTATTTTCCTATTTGTATTAAAATATTTATTACAAAGTTATATGATCATGCTGAACCAATTTCCTATGCCGACGAAGATAGAAAGTAATAATACAAAAATTAACTGTATTATTAATTTATCGCTTCTTTTTGTACATTGTGTTTTATTTTTTACTACTTGAAATTTTAAACCAAACCTATATAATATTACTAATATTAAAAAATGATAGCTGTGCTCCAACAGTTCTATTTAATATTAAATGTTCGCAAAGGCATTGTGCATTTAACTTAATATGCTTTGGCAGTCTACTAAAAAAACTTTTACTATAAACTTAATCTTGCAGAGATAAATGTTTTTTGTAGAAATAATGTATAAAAGCAATTACAAATAATATTTGAGGGTGAATGTTGTGGATGAAAATTACATTTATTTATTATATTACATTTTCAACCTGAATGAATTGATATATAGTTACGAATGTTATATTGCAATTTAAAATTTCATACACGTTGAATTTCATTTAAATTTTAAATTACCTATTAAATTACAGATACCATTGTATATAAATGAGTTACGATGTTATTTTACAACAATATTTCATTTATGATTTATTTGTAAATAATACGTTCTTGTGTTGTATGATTGTATATAATACATAAACATAATATAAGTTTAAAACACTATGTACAATATATATATACACATATATTGTAGTAAAATACTAAAATATAAACATTTATAATATACATTTATGTACTGCTATCATCCTATCTATAGTTTTTAAGCTTTTGATAGTTATAAATTTTAATTGATTATATAATGATAATACGATTATCTAATGTTAGACAATTGATTTATTTGTAATTATTAATATTTTTTTTTAATATAAATTAGAAAGTGTAATTAATATTTTAAAATTAAAAATGTATTTTATTCTAAAGGAATTAAACTCTTATAGATCTAACTCATAATTAAGTTAAAAATAAATAAAAATTTTCCGTGAAATTAAAAAAAGTGGTTAGTATAATTTATATAACTCTATAAATGGCAAAAGCGTATGTAATGTATACAAGTACGTGTTTAGGAAAATTAAATACGGAGGTATTTAATTTTTAATTTTTCATATAATATGTCAACAATTTTAATATTAACTAGTAAAACTATTCTTAAAAAGCCATATTTTTAATATGTACAATTATCGATAGTACGTTTTTGAATTTTATTACGTAATTATCACATAATATCTATCATATAGTTAAAATGCATTACATTTATATTATAATCTTGTAAAATAATGAATTATAATCATAATAATGTATCGTGTCTGATATTTTGACAAACAACTTCAAAAATGTAGAAATTCGAACTTTTAACTAAATATTATATGATAATGATGGTTTTAGATTTAGATTTTTTTCTACCTTTTCAAAATGCAACACATATGTATAACATTCTAATAAAATATTTTTATGAGTTTTAATTATATATAGTTTTAATTATGACAAGTTATAAAAATAATTTTTATAAAAAAAATGAATAGCTATACATAATGTATCTGTATAATATTTTTTTATAATATTAATTTGTGAAGTTGATTAAATTATTAATTATATTGAATAAGGTATTCGTAGTTTCAAGAACGGGGTTTTTTAAATAAAAATAAAATATACACAGAATTTCATTAAGATTTTCTTCGGTTATAGAAATCCAATTTCGAATAGTTTAAAAATAGTATTTGATTTACATATACGTACAATGCATTATTTTATTTCCGAGAAAAGAAATAAAATAACAATTGTAATTTGTTAAAAATATAACTTTATAAAAAAAATTTTATTTTTATTTTTTATACTTAAAATGTTTTTTGTATGAAAATAACTTTATAATTTTTATAAATACATTTTATATATTTTTATACTTAAAAGAGTTTAAAATTCATTTTTTTCCTCGTGGTTTGGATTTAAAAATCTAGAGCACTTATTCAGTATACAATATTCAAAAGTTGTTGAATCAAGTTTTAAAATGACAACGTTTATTTAATCTAAAAATATAAATAAGATATTTTTTATTAATATCGTTTCACATTTTAATATATAACACTGACATTAACAATTTATTACTTTGATCATATATATTTTTTTTTATTACCGAGTTAATTGTATTTAGTTTGAAATCTTATTATTCAGAATTGATGTAAAACATTCAGGAAATTGATCCGCTTTATAGTTGATCTTAATTGTATTTCTTATAATTGAATAAATAATTGTAATTTATCTGTGCTCAGTTAAAATTCGTATTAATAACTATGTATAAAAACTATTCTGAGCCAACGTCAGACACCCTATATTTTTAAAGGTATTTTATAATTTATTAAAATAATTTAAAAAATAAAAGTATTTCATATATGTATTGGTGATATGATACTAAAGTAGGATTAAATTATTTTTACCATAAACTATGCATATACTTTATTATCAATGTTTATAATATTTTATAATATTTAAAAGTGTGATTTTATTATTAACCTATATCTAAGAACTCTAGAGTAGAGTAAATTATAGTTTGTGGTAAAATAGATTGAAATTAATCTTGATATTTTACAAATGTCATTATATAAAGATAATAATAATTTACATAATTATAAAAAGATTCAATTCTTAACGATTAATACTTTTCAAATTGGAACAAACTAACTAAATCGTTATTTTTTTGTTAAAATAATTAATTATGTAAAATGTTATTTACAAAATCAATAAAAATGAATTGTGTCTAAGCATTTCCATTATTTTTAATTATCGTAAAAATTTCTCATAAATAAACTTGCATCATATTTTTATGTTTTTTGATCTAGAAAGTAGAAATAAACAGTTTATTAATTTAAATCGAAAAAAAAATTATAAGTCTAAATTTAAAATACCTATATAAATACCTGCTGTAAAAAATTAGTCTGAATAGTTTTTAAATTATATCATGATATAAATATTTGTTGAAAATTGCAAGTCACTTTTGTTATTCCTCAACGAATAAAAAAAAAAAAAAAACATCATCGTAATAATTTTTATTTATTCTATAAATATTTCTAAGAATCTAAAAATATATGTCTATTCACTATTGTGAACGTATGTACAAATAATACTAAGAGTTTTATTGATTAACCATGATATAAATATACTTATTAAATTTATCCTAGATTAAATATCGTATAAAAATATAAATCTTTAGCTTCTCAAAGAAAGAAAATAAAAATATCTTGATTTTTAATCTATGATTACAATTTTGTATTATTTATTATTATTAGATATTACGGTTGTAGTTTATATAACTAAGTAGTTAATATATTTTATTCATTATTTTATTTTAAAAATATTGTTTATACTGCTGGTGAATAATTACTCAACTGAAAATAATATAAAAATATTTTTACTTAACATTTTTGTAAAAAAAAACTACAATACAGCAAAGTAAAACTTTACTTTAATTTATTTATTCCCATGGATATGAAAAAAGTATATTTTTATCAATAATAATTTTAAATTTATATGTATTTAAAATTATTA